TCAGGACAGGGCTGGGGTGTGTCTTCTACAAACCTTGAATTTCAATTGAGTCATCAAAGTTGTGCCCTGACCCTCCCTGCCCAGCAGGTGTCCTGTCTCTCCGCTTGGAGTGAACTACTCGGGGGAGGGTCCCTCAGCATACAATTCCTCTTTGACTTTCCACGGCACGGGTCAGCCTTTTCGGAGGGCTCACTAGCAAAGTTCAATGTAGCTCGGGGAGACTCCGGGTACCCCTTTCCCCACCAGAAGTCAGTTAGGGGCTCTTCCAAACTGAGGTCCCCAGAGATGGAATCTGCCTCTCGGGAAGAGGGAGTTTATCTGTGGCCGACGCCCAGGGTGTGGCGGAGAGACGATCTGGGCGGGCTCCTCTTCCCAGCCCCCCCGATGCTGGCCGGGGGCTCCCCACGCTACCAGCCCCGTCAGAGATCCACGGGGAGAGTGGGATTGTAGGCCAGTCCACAGGCCCCGGGGTGCCCCGTGTCGAGGTAAGCAAATAGCACGTCCCAGCGGGGAGCCACGCCAAACAGAGATGGCTGACCTGCCCTCCCTAAGCCGGCCTTTTTTTTCACCCCCACCCGAGAGAATGGAGGCCGCTTTGATGTGGGCGCTTAGCCTGGTGTGGTGGGTGGGGGCCAGGCGGGCGGGTCGCAGTCGGGCTTCGCCCTGCAAGTGAGGCTGGACTAGGGGTGACTTACGGGGTCACGGGTCTGTGGCAGTCTGACACGCTTCACTCTGCCTTTGTGGGATCCTTTGTTGGCTTTCCTTGCCTTTGATGACTGGGCTGATCGCTCGTTCGTTCCCGCGGCCGGGCTTGGGCGCTCTCAGGAGACCTCTTCTGTGTCGGCCCCAAAACCTCGAACCTGCTGGCGCTTGTTTGTCGATGTAGGGTCGTTGTTGCAAGATTTATTTGCCTTTTGCTGCTCTTGGAGATGCAATCAATACTCTGGTATCACAGCGCACGGCTCACAGGATCGCGCTGTCTCCTGGCGCGGCCGCTCGGACCCGACGCCATCTTAGAATCTTCAAGGAAACCATGCTTTAAACACTGGTGATATTCTGATTTTATATCGCGCTTTTATCGCGCTTGTATTTGTTAATCGTTTATAACTTCACATAAACTCCATGAAGACAGAGCCGTGATCCGCTTCGTTTGCCGCATACCCCTCGCCTAGCACCCAGATTCTAGCTAGGACAAGGACCCGTCCTTTGCGCCCAACGTACTGAGAACTGGAAGTTCTGCCTTTGGTCCAGAAGACCGGATAGGGAACAGGGAAGTGCTTCTTTCCCGTCCGGAAGCCCTGAGAAGAAAACGCCCGCCAGAGATAGGCAATATTAAATGATGTAACTTGAAACAACAAATTGTCAAAAAGTAGGGGTGAATGATGTTAAAGCATAGAGTTGGCTTTGTTCTTTTCTATTTTCTTAGCAAAGTTACATTTTTATTAGTTTAAAATAATCTGTTATGACTATACTATGTTTTCTGTAAGCCTCATGGTAACTATACCACAAAAAAATTATAATAGACATACTAAAAACAAATACCAATAAGTCAAAGTATACTACTAAAAAAAATCACTTAATCACAAAGGAAGACAGTAAAACCAGGAAAAATGTAAAAAGGATCTACAAAACAATCAGAAAAAAGTGACAAAATGATAGTAACAAATCTCTACATATCAATAATAACTCTACATGTAAATAGATTAAATTCCTCAAAAGACAGAGTGGTTGAATGGATTATTATAAAACTACAACAAACAATATGCTGCCTACAAGAAACTCACTTCACGTATAAAGATACAAATCAACTAAAAGTAAAGGGATGGAAAAAGATATTTCATGCAAATGGAATCCAAAAAAGAGCAGGAGTAGCTACACTTATATCAGATAAAATAGACTTCATGTCAAGGTAAGTAAAAAAAAAAAGATAAGCAAGGTCATTATATAATGATAAAGGGATCAATTCAACAAGAGGACATAACAATTCAAAATATATGCACACATCAATAGAATGAAGGAAACAAATCATATGATCATATCAATAGATGCAGAAAAAGCATTTGATAAAATTGAATACTGCTTCATGATAAAAACACTCAACAAATTAGGTATACAAAGACTGTACCTCAACACAATAAAGGGCACACAATAAACCCACAGCTAATATCATACCAAATGGACAAAAATCGAAGGTTTTTTCTCTAAGATCTGGAACAAGACAAGGACGCCCACTTTCACCACTCATATTCAACATAGCACTGGAAGTTTTAGCCAGCACAATAAGACAACAGAAAGCAATAAAAGGCATCCAAATCAGAAAGGAGGAAGTCAAACTATCGCTGTTTATGGATGACATGATCCTATACATAGAAAACCCTAAAGATTCTACCAAAAAATTACTAGAGCTACTGAATTCAGTAAAGTGGCAGGATATAAAAGCAACACAGAAAAATCAATAGTTTTCCACTCACAGTGACATATCTGAAGAAGAGATCAAGAAAGTAATCATACTTACAACAACTACCAAAAGAGATGAAATGCCTAGGAGTAAATTTAACCTTTAGGCTTTTCTCAGCTATGAAATTTCTGGAAGAAAACATAGGGGAAACACTACAAAATAAGAGTGGGCAGCAATTTTTTAAGCAAGACTACAAAGACACAGGCAACTAAAGCAAAAATACATAAATAAGATGACATCAAACTAAAAATGTTCTGCATAGAAAGGGATACTGTCTACAAAAGTGAAGAGACAACCTACAGAATGGGAGAAAGTCTTTGCAAACTACACATCAGACAAGAGACTAATGTCCAGAATATATAAGGAACTCACACAACTCAACAGCAAAAAAACCCAAATAACCCAATTAAAAAATGGTCAAAGGACCTGAACAGACATTCTCAAAAGAAGAGATGCAAATGGCCAACAGACACGTGAAAAAATGTTCAGCGTCACTAATCATCAGGGAAATGTAAATTAAAACCACAATGAGATATCATCCAGTTAGAATGGCTATTGTCAACAAGACAGAAAATAACAAATGCTGGTGAGGATGTGGAAAAAAGGGAAGTCTTATACATTGTGGGTGGGAATGTAAATTAATACAGTCATTATGGAAAACAGTAGGGAATCTCCTCAAAAAACTAAAAATATGACTACTGGGGGCTGGCCACTTAGCTCAGCTGGTTAAAGTGTGGTGGAATTAACTTAAATGCTCATCAATGGATGAATGGGTAAAAGAAAACTGTGGTATATATACACAGTGGAATGGTATATATACACTGTTCAGCTATAAAAAATGAAATCCTGTCATGTGCAGCAACACGGATGGAACTGGAGACCATCATGTTAAGTGAAATCAGCCAGGCACAGAAAGACAAATACCACAGGATCTCACTTATAATTGGAATTTAAAAAAGAAAGGAAAAAGGAAAACGAAAGTGGTTTTCATAGAAGTAGAGAGTAGTATAATGGTTACTAGAGGCTGGGAAGGGAAGGGGAGTAGGGGTGCGAGGGGAAGTGGTAGATTAACAGATATAAAGCTACAGGTATATAGAAGAATAAGTTCTGTTGTTCTAGGCTACCTGGAAGTAATATTCCTATGTTGTATATTTCTAAATAGCCAGAAAAGAGGATCTTGACTATAAACACCAGAAAGAATAGATAAATGTTCAGAGGATGGATATGCTATCTACCCTAAGTAAATCTTTGTATGATATATGCATGTATTCAAACAGCACACTGTACCCCACAAATATGTACAATTAAATTTTAAAAGAAAAAAATACTTAGTAAATATGTTTGATTATGTGATTACTTGAGTATGATGTAATATCTGTACTCTTCCTTGCATATTAGACTTAATCCATCATGCATTTTTTTGTTACCTTGTTTAGGATATGGATGAAGAAATTGAGGCAGAATACAACATTTTGCAGTTTCTTCCTAATCATCCCAATGTTGTAAAGTTTTATGGAATGTTTTACAAAGCGGATCACTGTGTGGGAGGACAGCTGTGGTTGGTCCTGGAGGTAAGGGACTCCTGTTGGGTAGCCATCGATTTGAACAGAGTGCCAGAGGCAAGCAGATGCTTTGTTGCCTAAATAGTGTTTTAAAGTACACATTGAGGAGCAGGCGCATCCAGCATGTTCCAGGTACCTTACCAGATGTAGAATTCTTCTCCATAGTTCTTATAGGTAGGCTGGGTGCTGAAAATATTCCTCAAAAATATTCTGCTTCAAAAGTTGAATAATCTTTTGTTCTAATATAGAGTGCATACAGGATTACAATTGGAAAAGGTTTTTCCTTCCCTAAATTGGGAATATTTTATAGAAAACATGTTCCAATTGATTGCAACTCATTTTCAAAAACTGTTAACCCAAGGTTTATTTTGCCAAGTTTGGGTTGCCCGTTCATGTTCATTAGTCCTCACCTTATATTGGGTTTCCTCAAAATTGACCCTGAGTGGTGTGTATGGAAGTTTTATTGGAGAGTTCTTGCAGGAGATAGACCTGAAAGGAAGTGGGAAAGGCAGGATCAAGCAGAGGATACGCTGAACAGCAGTGTGGTTGCAACAGAGGCCTTAGCCCATCCTCTGGGAAAATGAAGAGCTAGTAAGCTTTTTCAGAGTTGTCCTGAATCATGTCTCCACATCAGTCCATCATTGGCTGTGTGCTATCCCCAGGAGGAAGTGTGGCCTTGGAGGAGGCAGTGCCCTGTAGTTGAAGGCAATTTCTAGTGATGGGTACAGCTGGAAGATGGCAGCAGGGAGCAGTTGACATTCCCAGCAGCATCTGCTCTGAAGAGGGAATCTGAAGGGAGCACTCCTGTATGCATTACAGTCATGCATTTTTTCTCCCTTATTAATGGGAATGAATGTGTGCATCTGAGTGCAGAAGAGTCACTTCCCTACAAATATAATTCTCCATGAGACTACAGTGACAAGTACAATAATGACAAATGTAGACTTTGTATGTTAGGACAGGTCTATTGCCTCATTCTCTCTGGACCCACCCTGATTTATTCTGGTCTCTGCCCTCGAGCCAGCTCATGCCTCCATGCCTGAGGTCACATGGGCAATCCGGGCACATGTGGACACACATGGAAGCCTTAAGAGAGAAGCACCAGAGGAGAGGCCAGCCCTCACTTCAACGTCTGGTGCCTCTTGTCCAAATCTTCTTGGCTCTGGGAGGGCCTGAGCGTGTGTGCTGGCTGCCATGGCCACTGTGTATGGGAAATTCATTTGTTATATTCAGATGGGATTATCTGCAGGGAAACTGGTTTGAATATTTCTGTCATATCAATTGCCTTCCTCAGAGTAAAGATGTAAGGGATTTTGGTTTCCAGGAATCATCTTTGTTCCTTCAGTTGGCTGGTTAAGTCATATAACACATTCTCATATTATCATCTTTTGAGTTTTATCAACTGTCTGCCCTACCCCACCTCTGAGAATAATAAGATTTTATGCTGCCAATGAAACTCTTTACCAATGCTGCTTTGTTTGGGAATTGTGAAGTATTGTTTTGGGGATCTTTGATTATATTTATCTTTAGCTCTGTGAGATCTCTGTGATTTAAATATCATTGTAACTTAATAATGGAAGTACAGTGACCAAGAAATCGTAGTTTCTGCTCATTTCCCCCCCCCCCCCCCCCCCCCCCCCC